TAACCATCAAGGGAAAAAACCCTTTTATATAATCCCCCACTACCAATATTCTCTGGTGGTCACTTTATGTAGCTGGATCACCCCCAACCTACCAATTACAACAACCTAACTGGCCATACAGTTGCTATAACTAAAAAGGTTTTCTTAACTTTGGGTGTTGATGCCCCTTTTTCCTCCATTTACCATCTCATTCGATGTCCTCTACACCGACATGGTTCTTATTTCCCGCAGGACGAGGTATCCGTTGGGTTTGTCCCCGGTTTCAAGTCTGACTCCATAAAAAAATTTTATCCTGGGGACAGGGAAACCCTGAGGTCACACGTGTTCACTGGACAAGGGGACTTTTTCATTTATGCATTCTCTTAACTTTGTGTTATCACGATTACTTACAATTCACAAGATGATTAAAAGTCTCATAATTATTATACACATTAGAGGTCACTCCATTAAGATCTGAGACCGATGGTGGGATTAAAAATGGGGATTTTCCCCTGGACACACTCCCCATTGCGCACCAGTCACCACCGGGCCTACCATTTTTCACTAATTTTACCACTTTTACAGCTCCCGTAAATCACGTTCCCTCACCTTATTGAGATAGTGACCAATTTCCTGGAGTTTTATTCCCTTTTTAAATATTCAGCTATCAAACTTTTGGGGCCAGTCACTGGACCCTTTTTGTACCCTTTTTAATCTTTTGACTACCGCCCACAGGATGGGTAGGGGGGCAAAAAATTTAAAATAAAGTGTGTGTGTGTTGTGTGTGGTGTGTGTGTGTGTGGGGGTGTGTGTGTGTGTGTTGTGGGGGTGTGTTGTGTGTGTGGGGTGTGGTGTGTGGACCAACAATCAATATTTGCACCAATAATCATTTCAGTTTGACCGGGTGTGGAAGTGTGAAATTTCCATTACTCTATAATTTGTTCATGATTTACCAAAGAAAACGTAAGTAACCATTCTACAGAATTCATTACCTTTGTAAATTGTGAGCTCATTACCTTTTTCCTAGTTCATACAAAATTTGGGGGGCCCCGTCCCCGGACCCATTACGTACCCCGTAATCTGTAAATACCTTTGTAACTTGTCATGATTTTTGACCAGACTTATGGAGTTCATTACCTTTGTAAATTGTGGTTCATTTCCTTTGTAAATTGTGAGTTATTACCTTTGTAAATTGTGAGTTCATTACCTCTTAACTTGCTAGCATCAAAACTGTGGAGCCAGTCCCTGGGGCCAATTAGTACCTCTGTAATCTTTTGAAACCCCCCCCAGGGGTGGGTATGGGGTGCTAATAAACATATTAAACTAAACAAACTCACTCTTCACCCGGGACGTTACACACTTCCTATATGAAGTGAGGCCCTTTTAATCCTTTGGCCGCCCTTTAACGCCCGTTTCCTGGTCCCATGTTTTTTACAGCCTCTTAAACTCCATTCCAAACCCTCCCACTCCCCCTGCCCCATCTCGACCTCTCCCCTGCCCATCAATCAGGCGCAGAGCTTCCCTTTGGTTCTATTCCTTTTTCAAATACATTTTTTTTTTCCCATATCAAAAAATTAAAAACCTATTAGGCACTATAGCTTTGGAACTTAAAAAATTTTTCCCCAATGGGCCGACATCCCTAATTTTTTAAATTTCTCATTGTCCATCCGTCATTTTTTTCCCGAAAATCAATTGATACAATTTGTGGTCTTTGAAAGTGGATCCCGGGCATTAACAATCCCAAATCCTTTTAAATTTGGGTTTTTCTCTATTGGTTTGGGTTGGGAATTTTTTTTTACTCCGATAAGTTTTTAAATTTTCCCCACGTTTTTCCCATCGGAGTAATTTAAACTTCTCACATTGAACTTCTAATTTTTTTTTTTCGCGGCCCCTTTAAAAATTTTGGGTTTATGTCTGCCTGGGGTCTTGCAGTGTCTTTGTGGAGACACTGTTATCAAATTCGGGTTCATGTGCAAAGGAAACACATGCGTGGCTTTCTTTCGTCGTCAGACATAGGATAGGAACAGGGGGGGATCGAGTACTTCCTTGTGGAACAGAGCTTTTACAGGCCGCCTCAGCTTTTCTCTGTTTACTATTACTCTTTGTGTTCTATTTATCTGCCAACGTTTCTTGTTTTCCTTTTTTCACGCATTTTGTGCGCTATTTCCCATGGTCACATTTTTCAAAGGGATTTTGCCTTTTTGAGCACCCCGGGCCTTTTCATGTATCCCAAAAGTTTAGGACAGGCAGGGCGACCTGCCAAACCCATGTTGCCCTGGTTTTTGGTAAATAAAGGGTATCTAGAAGTGGCGATCTTTCTTCTTAAACCTTTTCAATGATTTTTAGTTATGGGATGTTCCGCTATTGGTCGTAGTTCGCAATACACTGTCCCCCCTTTGTGGAGTGGGCTATGTCTGTTTTTTTTAGCACTGTGGGGTGACCCGTGTCCCCCTGCTCCCTCTCCAAAAAAATTTAAAAGGCATTGATAGGGGGTTTTTTCAGTTCCTGATGAACAGGGTTCCACGGTCTGGGCCTGGCCGAGTGCATGGGCATGTCATTTATCGCCTTTTCGGAGTATTTAGGTAGGATAATATGAGAGGGCTTAAACTCGAAATTCTGATTCTTCTCATAAAAACCATTTAGGTCTTCGACTCTCAGTTGGTTAGCGGGTCGCAAAAACGAGTTTATCTGGGCTTTAGAACCCCTTATTTCCTGTGTATCTGTTGGCCCATCTCCCCTAAATACGGGGCCCCAAAACTGGGCTGTCCTCGACTTAATTTTTGGGAAAAAAAAAGAGATATTTTGGTTTCCTTTCAATTTCATTTATGGTTTTTAGTTCTTCCCGTGTTTCTGGATTCCTGTAAGATTCCTTTAGCTTAAGTTCGATGTTTGCTATTTCTCTGACCAGTGCCTCCCTTTGTATTACAGATATATTGGCCTCTTTAAGCCGTTCTGTTATTCTTTGCCTTCACCTGTATAGGGAGCGCCTCTCTCTTTTTAATTTACATTTTCTCTTCCATTTCCTTGAGCATACCTCGAGTGCCACAGAGTTAATTTGTTCTAGACATAGGTTTGGATCCTTGTTGCTTAGGATATCCTCCCAGTTTATATCATTCAAGACCTGGCTGACTTGGTCCCACCATATATTTTTGTTACTGAAGTTGAATTTGGTGAAGGCTTCCTCGTGACTAATCACATTTTGTTGGTCTGAGCGCCGCGCATACATGTCTGAATCTCTCTTGTTGTGATCTGAGCACATTTTGTATCAGATCATTATTGTTAATGAAGTTGAGGTCCAGTGTATTCTCCAATCTTGGTGGCTCTATTATTTGTTGATTTAAGGTGAATTTGGTGCAGAGATTTAAAAGCTCGTGTGAGTGCAAGTTTTCATCTGAGCTGTCTCCTGGGGTTATATCTGCTATAGCATTATTTGCTACATTCGTCCATTTTAAGTGCTTTAGGTTGAAATTCCCTAGGAGCAAGATGCTGGAGCGGGAGCTGGAAGATTTTGAAGGTTCTCATTATCCGTTCTGTCATTTTTCTAGCAGATGCGATTGATACATTGTTGTGGTCTTTGAAAGTGAGATTACCTGGAGTTTACCTGGAGAGAGTTCCGGGGGTTTAACGCCCCCGCGGCCCGGTCTGTGACCAGGCCTCCTGGTGGATCAGAGCTTGATCAACCAGGCTGTTGCTGCTGGCTGCACGCAAACCAACGTACGAGCCACAGCCCGGCTGATCAGGAACTGACTTTAGGTGCTTGTCCAGTGCCAGCTTGAAGACTGCCAGGGGTTCTGTTGGTAATTCCCCTTATGTATGCTGGGAGGCAGTTGAACAGTCTCGGGCCCCTGACACTTATTGTATGGTCTCTTAACGTGCTAGTGACACCCCTGCTTTTCATTGGGGGGATGGTGCATTATCTGACATTATCATTCTCAGGTTCTTACACTAGTTTTTCGCTCTATTGATTGGTTGGAATTTGTTTTTATACTTTTATATAGCTTTAATTTCCGCACGTTTCCATATCGGTAGAATTGAAATTTTCTCATTATCGAACTTCATATTGTTTTCTGCGGCCCATTTAAAGATTTGGTTGATGTCCCTGGAGTCTTGCAGTGTCTTCAATGGAGGACACTGTCATGCTAATTGGAGTGTCATCTGCAAAGGTAGACACAGGAAGACATCTCTGTTTATGTCAGATATGAGGAACAGGATGGGAGGGAGTAGAGTGCCTTGTGGAACACAACTTATTACAATAACCGCCTCAGATTTGACAATGTTTACTACTCTTTGTGTTCTGTTTGTTATATATATATATATATATATATATTATATATATATATATATATATATATATATATATATATATTTGTTATATTATTATGTATATATATATAAAAGTGATAATATAGTAAAGATAATAAAGTAATAATAAAAATGTAATAAAGATATAATAATAATGTATTGAAGTAATAATAATAATATTGTAAAGATAATAAAGTAATAAAGATTTAGCAGAGTTTCCCTCACTTGATGCCGGCAGGAGGCTTTTGATCCATGGAAGCGGACCTACCCTCCCCTTCCTTGGATCGAACCTGATTGCCTCCTATTCCCACATGCGGTGTATGGTCCTTGTGGGATTAGCGCTTCCTCGTGATTTATTATAATAATAAAAATACAGTGATCAGCTGTTGTGATGACGTCACGCGGTGGTGACCGCCTCCGACTCTCTTCTTTTGACTTTAATGTTACTATTGATTCTCTTTATTCTTTACCTTTACTCTTTCTCTCTGCGCTACGGTCTCTGACATATACAATTATTATGATGTAAATATTCTGAGGTTGTATGATGATTCATATGGGAGGAGGTGGAAGAGCTGGAGTTTAATGACAATGTCACTTTTTTACTTTTTTGGGGGTTATCTTAGGTAATTTACACATATGATACTATGTAAGATAATTATAATCATCCAAAAATTGCGTAATTGTACCTAAATAAACGTTCATACTTGCTCATTAATAAGTAAATATTAATATAAAAGAGTAAGCTGTGGCCGGGGTCAGAGAGGAGGTGTGAAACACTTCACCCACACAGACAAACAATGGCTGGCAGGGATGAGATCTTAGCCAATTTTCAGGTAAGTTGTGGCCTTCCCGCTCTCCTACCTACCTTCCTACCTTCTCTCATGTAAGATTATTGCTTGTAGGGTTGGTGTAGTGCGAGTCATGGTCTACCTAACTATTATTACCCCGGCAACAATTTTTGTATCAGTGTAGTGTGTTGACTCGGGAATTTCTTAGTCATGCTTCTCAGTGTTGGTATTAATCAAACTTTTGTTCTGTTACACTCTACCTCGTCTCGCAGCTGTTCTTTGTAGTAAATATCTACTTGTAGCACATTTTCTGGCGTGTTAAGATGGCCTCATGACCTATAAGTCACATTATTTAACTATTATCTTATCCAACATTAATTTATAAAATATTGTAAAAAAAACAGCTTGTGTTCTGAACCAGAATAAAGTCTTACTTAGTATCTTAAGATACTTAGCAAGTTATTACCAGTAAGTGGATAAAAACATCTAAGGTGAAGAATAAGACACATGGGCACCACTTGGGTATCTTTGTGCCACAACTTTTATACTGCACAAGAAGCGTCTTCAGTCACTACTAATATAACATCGCAGACAGTATAAATAGTAGTTTTGTATATGATCAGTCCATCATCCTTGGTAGGTGCTGGTCAGTCTTTTTGATTATTATAATAATAATAATAAGGTGGGGGTCAGTCCCTCAAGGTGTAGATTTTTGTCTGGGAATGATTAATTTTCTGCTTAATCACAATTTTCATTTTGGGCATTAAGATATCAGGGACTTCTGCCCTGGCTTGTGAGGGCATTAGGGTCTGCCCTGGCTTGTGAGGGCATCAGGGTCTGCCCTGACTTGTTGTGAGGGCATCAGGATCTGCCCTGGCTTGTGAGGGCATCAGGATCTGCCCTGGCTTGTGAGGGCATCAGGGTCTGCCCTGGCTTGTGAGGGCATCAGGGTCTGCCCTGGCTTGTGAGGGCATCAGGGTCTGCCCTGGCTTGTGAGGGCATTAGGGTCTGCCCTGGCTTGTGAGGGCATTAGGGTCTGCCCTGACTTGTTGTGAGGGCATCAGGATCTGCCCTGGCTTGTGAGGGCATTAGGGTCTGCCCTGGCTTGTGAGGGCATCAGGGTCTGCCCTGACTTGTTGTGAGGGCATCAGGCTCTGCCCTGACTTGTTGTGAGGGCATCAGGCTCTGCCCTGGCTTGTTGTGAGGGCATCAGGCTCTGCCCTGGCTTGTTGTGAGGGCATCAGGCTCTGCCCTGGCTTGTTGTGAGGGCATCAGCTCTGCCCTGGCTTGTTGTGAGGGCATCAGGCTCTGCCCTGGCTTGTTGTGAGGGCATCAGGCTCTGCCCTGGCTTGTTGTGAGGGCATCAGCTCTGCCCTGGCTTGTTGTGAGGGCATCAGGCTCTGCCCTGGCTTTTGTGAGGGCATCAGGCTCTGCCCTGGCTTGTTTGTGAGGGCATCAGGCTCTGCCCTGGCTTGTTGTGAGGGCATCAGCTCTGCCCTGGCTTGTTGTGAGGGCATCAGGCTCTGCTCTGGCTTGTTGTGAGGGCATCAGGCTCTGCCCTGGCTTGTTGTGAGGGCATCAGCTCTGCCCTGGCTTGTTGTGAGGGCATCAGGCTCTGCCCTGGCTTGTTGTGAGGGCATCAGGCTCTGCCCTGGCTTGTTGTTGAGGGCATCAGGCTCTGCCCTGGCTTGTTGTGAGGGCATCAGGCTCTGCCCTGGCTTGTTGTGAGGGCATCAGGCTCTGCCCTGGCTTGTTGTGAGGGCATCAGGCTCTGCCCTGGCTTGTTGTGAGGACATCAGGCTCTGCCCTGGCTTGTTGTGAGGGCATCAGGCTCTGCCCTGGCTTGTTGTGAGGGCATCAGGCTCTGCCCTGGCTTGTTGTGAGGGCATCAGGCTCTGCCCTGGCTTGTTGTGAGGGCATCAGGCTCTGCCCTGGCTTGTTGTGAGGGCATCAGGCTCTGCCCTGGCTTGTTGTGAGGGCATCAGGCTCTGCCCCAAGCATCGCTGATAAACTTTAGTAAATATGTACTGTAGAGGCTACACTGAGTTTAACAAAAATATGTATAAGTGTCCAGTTCAGTATCTATTGGTGTGTGCATTGAAGGTACCTGTAATGTCTGTGAGTGGACAAAAAAAAAATGCTGCTTTGGGGTATATTTTGATTAGAATAAAACATGAAAAGAGCCCCCCCCCCCCTGTTTTTTTTTTATCAATTATAACCTTGGTCATTTTCAATTTCTATTAATTAATAGTAATAATATAATAATATTTTTATTTACTGCAAGTACACGTACAAGGTATACCGGCCTAGATGACATCAATGACATAATACTATATAGAAAGTCGCTTGTTATGCAGAGCATTTTGGGCAAATTAGGTCAGTTTTGTCCCAGGATGCAACCCACACCAGTTGACTAACACCCAGGAACCCATTTTACTGATGGGTGAACATAGACAAGCAGTGTAAGGAAACATGTCCAGTGTTTCCACCCCTTTGCCAGGAATCGAACCCAGACCCTCAGCATGTGAAGCGAGAGCTTTGGCCACCAGGCTACAGGGCACAGGGCAGTTATACTGCCACAGTGGCATTCATGAGATCCTGTATCAGGAAGCAAAGAAAAATAATGAATACCATCCCAAGAACATCCAACCACACCTGATGGGTTATGACCCGATGTAACCCAGATACAGTGGAACCTCGAGTTTCAAACTAAATCCGTTCCAGGAGCTAGTTCTAAAATCGAACCAATATTGACCATAAGAAATAATGGAAATACAATTAATCCGTTCCAGAAGCCCAAAATATTCACAAAAAAATACATTTTATAGAGATTACATTATAGTTTTACATACACAACAAACATATATAGTACAATTAGTAATAAATCTAAACATTTAAAATAACATTTTTACTCACCTTTACTGAAGATTGGTGATGGCATCTGGAAGATAGGGAGGAGGAGAGAGGGAGTTGGGGTTAGTGTTTGGAAGGAGAATCACCCTCCATAAGGACTTCAGGTATCAATGCCCTGTCTGGGGTTACTTCCCTTGTCTGTCTTTTAATGCCACTAGGGCCAGCTTAAGAATCACTGGACCCCTGTCTCACAAAATAACTGCCCACAATCCTCTGTTTCTGGCACCTCTTTAACATTTCCCTGAAGTGGGACATGGTTCTGTCACTGAACTTGTTGCAGAGATGGCTTGTTTCAGCTTGGTCAGGGTGATACTTTTCAACGAAAGTTTGCAACTCATAACTCATTCCACTTTGCACACATGTCCATAATCACTGAAGAAGGCACCTCATCCACTCAATCTTCCTCCTCCTCTGAAGCAAGTTCCTGAGCTGTGGTCTGATGCTGTTCCAGATGAAGCTCTTCCAGCTCTTCAGTGGTTAGCTCTTCCCTGTGGTCCCCCACCAACACTTCCACATCCTCTCCACTCACCTCCACCCTCAGGGTGTTCCACAATAGAGTCCACAGCAGGCAGAGGGTCAGCAGGGTCAGGGTCATCCTTAAACCCTTCAAAATCCCTCTTTTGGACACAATCTGGCCATAATTGTCTCCAAGCAGAGTTCGAAATCCTGGAAGTCACTCCCTCTCAAACCTTACATATAAGGCTTATGGAGATGTAGATACTGAAGTGCTTCCTCCAGAACTCTCTTAGGGTCAACTTAATGTCTGTGGTCACTTCAAAGCACTTTTCAAACACTGCTTTTGTATAGAGTTTTTTGAAGTTAGAAATGACCTGCTGGTCCATGGGCTGGAGGAGAGGAGTGGAGTTAGGAGGCAAGAACTTCACTGTGATGAAACTGTAGTCCCTAGACAGTGGGTCTACCAAGTTTGGAGGATGTGCAGGAGCATTGTTCATTAACAGGAGGCACTCGAGTGGCAAATTATTTTCTAGGAGGCATTTTCTCACACTGGGGTCAAACACTTCATGGACCCACTCTTTGAAAATTTGCCTTGTGACCCATGCCTTATTATTTGCTTTCAACAAGGCACACAACTTGGTCCTAGTGACATTGTTTTTTCTTAAACACACTGGGATTTTCTGAGTGATACACAAGTAAAGGCTTCACTTTAAAATCATCACAGGCATTAGCACAGAACAAGAGAGTTAACCTGTCTTTCATAGGCTTGTGTCCTGAGAGTGCCTTTTCCTCCTGAGTAATGTAGGTCCTATTCAGCATTTTCTTCCAAAACAGGCCTGTTTCATCACAATTGAACACTTGTTGGGGTTTGAATTTTTCAGTGTCTACGTACCCCTTAAACTCCTGTAAAACTTCTCAGCTGCCCATTTGTCTGAAATGGCTGCCTCACCATGCCTTACATAAGAACATAAAGAAGGAACACTGCAGCAGGCCTACTGGTCCATGCGAGGCAGGTCCAAGTCTCCTACTGGCTTAAGCCAATGCCTCAACCTAGTCAGGTCAGGTCACATTCACTTAAGGAAGGAACACAGCAACTGACCTAGTAGCACAAGCTAATCAGGTCCAACTCACACCCACCCACACCCACTCATGTATTTATCTAACCTATTTTTAAAACTACACAACGTTTTAGCCTCTATAACTGTACTTGGGAACTTTTTCTCCCTTACTACTCTTTACATCATCATTCCACCAATCACTCTTCTTCCCTCCTGCACCCACTTTCCTGTAACCACAAACTTCTGCTGAACACTCTAACACTACATTCTTAACCCTTAACCCTTTCAGGGTCCAAGGCCAAAATCTGAAGTCACGCACCAGTGTCCAAGAAATTTTGAAAAAAAAAAATTATTTTTTCTTACAGAATTAAAGAGCATATTTTTGTGAAGGTAATAAAACAAAAAAAAATAGAATCTGATCATTACTTACCGAGATACAGTGCCAAGAAGTTTATAGAAAATGATGTGGTGGCGGCAACATCGACGAATTCCACATACGCGTATTATATTATTTTGTTGTTTTAGTTGTTTTTTCTTTTCTTTTCCAATTTTTTTTCTATTCCTACTAACATTTGGGGCCTGAGAGACCAATACTGTATATAATTGATATATATATAC